GTAAGGTTTATTTAGGTTGAGTTTAGAAGTTTTTCAATGCTGCAAACAAAAGAATATGAACCTGTGTGTGGATATATGATGCGATACGATAATCTTTATTATCATTGTCCCATACAGAACAACAAACTTGAAAAAAATCTACATCAGACATTCAAAAACCAACAAGCCTGCTATCCCAGCTATCCCAGCCTGGTTAACCCCCTAAAAACTCTGATACTCCATAATTAAATACAATATACTCCCATAGAGACTAACTTACACTGCGTTTAAAACCAAAATCACATTTGGATAGAAACTGTTTCTGAGGTGGCTAGTCCTAGTCTTTATAACCCTGTACCTTCACACACACACACACACACACACACACACACACACACTTTTACAATGTAAATCAGGGTGGGCAACCTGAGCTCATCCAGATGTTGTTGGCCGACAACTCCCATATGTCCCAACCAGTTTGCCCAATTGACAAGAATGGTGGGAGCTGTGGTCCAACAACATCTGAAGAGGTATAGGTTGCTCACCCCTGCTATATGTCTTTTCTAAGTTCTGCCCAACTTTCTCAAGAGATGTGCTTAGTTTGCTAATGGGATCTTAATACACAAAGGGGAAATGTGTGTTTCCTTTGCAGCAGCCACTCCCGTCACCTCCTATGCTGTGTCCCCACCCCTCCAAAAAAGATAGGGGAACCAGTACAGACAGAAGGGGGAGCCAAGAAAAATGTCCTGCCCACTTTCTGATCATGGAAGACTCTGCTGGATCAGAAAGCCTACCATCAGGAAAGGGACATAATTCGGCAATCTGGAACTTCTAGGCCATTAATGATGCATGAGAGCAATGTTTCTCAAAGAGTAAGCCAAGACCCACCAGTGGCTCTTCAGCCACTTTCAGATGGGCCTTGGTGCCACAGCCTGCCCAGCGCCTCCTCACTTGCCTTTCCCCACCATTCAGCCATGACATAGGCTTTTGGTTGGACCAGTGCCAGCACTAGCAACTCCTTGCATGCTGAGTAAAAACAGCTAGGAGTAGGAGGAAAATGTGACTATAAAAGAACCAAGGAGGAGAGAGAGAAGAAACTGGGAGGGGTTCTGTAGGGGAGGCACGGAAGATATAGTTCAAGAAGAATGGGTGAAGAAATGATAACAAATACTTTGGGAGGCACAGTAACATAGAATTGTAGAGTTGGAAGGGACCCTGAGATTCTCCAAATTCTCCTTAAAATGGGGAGACTGAGTCACAATAACCTCATAGCAAATGTCTCCTCTAAAGCTTGTGGAAAGCTGAGCTCTGAAACTTCACACCACAAGAAAAACACGATGGCAAAAGGATTTCGCAATTTCAAAAGATGGAGTAGAAATCAGTAGAAAGTGATGCCAGCTGATTATGCCAAACTCTGTCTCCATCTGTTATCATTTTGCAACTGGCTCTGACCCTGCACTATCCTTTTGTGATGGGGGGAGGGAGGGGTGGCTCAGCAGTTTTCAGCCATCTCAAGTGCACCTTGGAGGGTAGAAAGTTTGGGAATCCCTGCACTGGAGATTGAGAGTGCAGTAGCACAGACACATTCTGCACTCACCATGAAGTTTTGTTTTCTCCTCACAATAATATTGTGCCCCATGTTCTTCCCTTCTCCAGGTGAATTGTAAAGCATATGTATGTAAGCAAATATTAAGGTGTATATGTACATATATTAGGTAACGGTATAAAGATCCTGTGTAGAGTCCAAAGTCCAGGGAAATGTCACTTTCTTGATGGCGTAAACTTGAGTAGCATGAAGGCATTCAGGTTAAGCAGACTTTTGAGTGCCAAAACCCCAAAACTGTCATAAAAATAATGAAACCTGGGGCACAGTATAGCAACATTAATGTGAAAAACAAAACTCTTAATGCGCCCTATTTCACTCCCCACAAAGCTGTCTCAAATTGTATCAGGGCCAAAGTGTCTCTGCAATTTCTTGTTTTCAGCAGCTTGCCTCAGAAAAACTGCCTCACAGATTACCTCAGAAGATGGCACCTACTAGGCAAGTGCATTTTTGCCCTTCCTTCTTGGAGGCTTCAAATGTATGTTTTTTGTTTGTTTAGGAATCAGGGATACATTCGTCCTTGCTTAAATTGCCCAAGTTCCTCATGACTTGTGACAGAGAGGCAATTAAAATTGGTAGTCAGGTGAGCCACCTGACGAACTAAAGCTGCTCACATACCAGTCTCTGTAGCTAACATTTGCAATAGAGCTGAAATATTTGAGGAACAGCATTAGACCGCACCAACTAAAAAGAAGATTGTGTTTATTTTTGTGTGTAAGGTGTAACCATGCTGAAAGACACTCTCGTCATCTCAAATGATAGAATAATTACTGGTATTGAAGCCTGAGGGGAGTGAAATAGCAGCAGGACAGATGAGTATATAGGTATTATGAATTCCACAAACATAGACTGTATCTGAATGTGTTCTCCAGAATTCCAAAGGATATTGTGGGTTTAGTTTGCGATTTATTTTTTTAGCAAACTTGTAAAACAAAGTTGAGTAACAATCTTCATTATTGTTATGGTGTAAAAGATAAAAGACTGAGGTCCTGGTTCCAGTTTTCGACTGCAAACCAGGTTATTCTGTGGAAAACCCATGAAGGGATAGCTCCCACTCTCATTACTGCTTTGCTATTTAGCAGAGGCTCTGTAGGGCTGCCAAATGGGAAAGAAAATTTATTGCCCCTGTGAATCAGTGTAAACCTGCCGTCGTCATGTTTTAACTCTCCCAGAGACTGCATGCTCCCAGCTAAGTTGATGTTCCTGGAACATGTTCTTACATCTAATTCACACATGCAATGTTAGTCATTCGGAAATGCAAATAGATAGAGGCTGTTGCACATGGCAAGCTGTTCCTGTCACTCCTCCCAGTTATTACAATTTTCCTGGAATTCAGCAGTAAACAGAGCAAATAAAGAGCATTGCACTGCTGAGATGCAGACCCTCCAAGTGTCCCTATTTTCCAGGGATGTCCTTGATTTAGAGAAGCCATCCTGGTTTCTGATTTGATCCCTGAATGTCCCACTTTTCCTTAGGATGTCCCTATTTTCATTGGCAAAATGTTGGAGGGTACAAAGTTATCCGACCCCTGAGCTGTCTGAAAGCAATCCTGTACAGGAAAGTTTTTAAATGTTTAATGCTATATTATGTTTTTATATATGTTGGAAGCTGCCCAGAGTGACTGGGGCAGCCCGATAAAATGTGTGGGGTATAAATAGTGAAATTATCATTTTGGAATGGACTATCCCTCTTTTCATCAGAGAAACGTTGGAGGGTATGGAGTTGTGTATCCGCCATCCTCACTCTTCCTCTCACCCCACTTGCTATAAACATTGTTTTGCTATTGCTAATGCAGCAGCATACATGATCTCTCTGCCTCAGCCTCCTGTGTGCCTAGCTCTTCCTACTAAAGTTACCGTATTTTTCGCCCTATAAGGCGCACTGGCCCATAGGGCGCACCTCGTTTTTTTGGGGGGGGAATGAATAACAAAAATGTATTTTCCCCCACCCCAGCCGCAGGGCTGGGTCGGGGGAAGCCCGAGCTTCCCCCGACCCCAGCCCCCAGAACAGGCTTGCGGACACCTGCGCAAAGCACGGGGCGTCCTCCAGAGGGCGCTCCGTGCTTCGGGCTGCAGGCTGCTGCCCGCAAACCTTGCAAGCCCGCAGGAACTCCCGCCAGGCTTGCAAGGCTTGCAGATAGCTTCCTGAAGCCTGGAGAGCGAGAGGGGTCGGTGCGCACCGACCCCTCTCGCTCTCCAGGCTTCAGCGAAAGCCTGCATTCGCCCCATAGGACGCACACACATTTCCCCTTCATTTTTGGAGGGGAGAAAGTGCGTCCTATAGGGCGAAAAATACAGTACTTTATTAACCTATAACTTTTATTTTTTATTATTTAAACAAAAACAATTTCTAGCCACAGCAAAATGGCTAGACTTTCCTGGGCCCCTCAGCCAGAATGCTTCACTTTGAGGAAGCACACCGTGGCTCAGAGTGAGGCATGAGGGTGAGACAGGTTTCTTGGAGTCCTGAGGAGCCTTGCCAGGTGGTGGGTAGTGGTGCCAGTAGAAGTGGGTGACCACAAGGCAAGCTACCAGGGCCCAAGAGTGTGCTAATGTGCTCCTCTCTGGGCCCTGGCATTAATTCAGCTGGATTGCATGAAATTGCTCCCGTATGAAAATAATCTAACAGTTGAAAGCATTTCCACAGTTAAAGGACATTTTGTTAGTTCTTCAGCATGGCACACATAACATTCTGCTGCAGTTTAAACAGAGCAAGGTTATCTTCAACATATCAGGACATTGTCACATAAATATGACCAATACCTCTATAAGTAACAAACCAATAGAGTAACTTTGAATATGTTTCTGGGAAAGAACTCTGCACAGCAGTGGGGGTGGGAAGTAGGACAGGGTTGAGAGTCAAGATAAGAAACATTTACTGCAGTGCTGAAGTCTTTGGGGTGGGGAATTTGCTGAAGTCTTGTGGAAGGGAGGGAATTGGCTGGCATCCAGTTCAGCTGGTGGAAAGACTGGAATAGCAAAAAATGTACAGTACGCTCGGAAAACTCTAGTTATATGCTATGTGACTCACCTGATTATATATTCAGTTAACCTTTTTAAAAATTGCAAGCAGTCTTAGCAGCTACTGTAACATGAATGGTTTGCATTCCCTACAGACCTGTCAAATGAACTAAGTTAAAGTGCACTGTGAGTATTGCATGCATGCATGCATGCACACACAAACACACACACAGGCAAACCTTGTTAGTGTTTATACTTGGATTTGTAGTATTTGTGCATTTTTCCATCAGCCACATACAGTTCCAGAAAGATGCCAAACTGCATTAGAATTCACCTACAAGACAGCATGCCACATGCTTCTTCATGGCTGCCATTCTGCATGTTGTTGTGGTTACGTATATCTTTACAATTCTGCCTAATGCACCCTGCAAATCTCCAGGAAGGTCACACAAAACAGATGAAGTTTAAAATATTTTTATTAAAACGTGTTAAAACTCTTTTGCCACAGAACAAACAATAATGTGCAGGAAAATAATGGTAGAATATAGTTAGATTGAAAAACAAGAAAAGAAAGCACACAACCTTTTATCACTACTAAGAAGAGTTAGTACTATTGGGCAAAAAAAATTGTTTTCAGGAAATGTAGAATGTATACTTTGAAAACTTTGAAATTTTAAAAAATTCATGCACATCACTCCTCTTCTTTTTTTTTACACAGCTAAGCAACACTTCAATAAAAACTTTATGTGGTTAAAAAAAAATCAAATATAGATTTAGAGAAGTTCCTCCCCCCTTCATTTTCCCCCTCACCTCCCAATAAGAGCCTCTGCTATATTTTGCATATTAATATAGTATTGATCATAGTGGACTTCAGTAAGTTAGAATTTTTGCTGTAACATAACCTACCCCCCCCCCACACACACACACTGCAAAGCAATTTCAAATCACTATTAGAATGAAAACATATTCCCCTTAATAGATGCTAATAAAAAAAATACAAAAACCTTGGACAATATTCAGTTCGAATTTCTGGTGCTGCTCTGAAATATCTGAAGACGTTCCCTTGTGTTCTAGAGCTTGCTTTGTCTTAGAGGTCACAGACAGTTTCCTGGATCTTGCTCCATTGTACACAGTGTGCTGTACTAGCAGAGTTTCTTCTAGAATCCAAGTTTGATCAGAAAGGATACTTCCCTTGGAAAGACAGTAAACCAAAGGCAGACTAAACATACTGACTTTTAGTGTACGAACTTTCAGCTCTTCTTGGCGTACGATGGCTCTGGAAGGCTGTACGTTGTGAAGGCACTGAGTATCGATAGCTTCTGGTTTTTTCTTCACAACGGCAGAAACAGCAAAGAATTGCTCCTCCGGCGACGAGGCAGAAGGCAGACGTCCAGCCGATGTAGAGGGCTTCGCCAAGCTCCCGCTTCTGAGCCAGCTGAATGGCTGGATTGTAGAAGTCTCGGATGATGTTGTGGGCAACGAAGCACACTGGGATGAGCACGACGATGCCAGTCACAATGAAAGTGATGCCTCCTGCCAGCAAAATATACCCTTTTATTCGGTCGTCATTTCCTGTGCACTTTGTGCACTTCATGCCAAGGACAGCGACTGCAAATGCAAGGAACGCCAGGGCTGAAGCTGCGCACATCAGACCTCTTGAAGCCTGGAGGTCAGGAGGCAGAGCCAAGAGGGAGTCGTAGACCTTGCATTGCAGCCTGATGTTAGATTGCTGTATGCAGTTCATCCACAGGCCTTCCCAGGAGGTTTCAAAAACCACCACGTTGCTTTCGATGAAAGCAGTCACTCGCCACTGGGGCATGCCCGTGATGGCGAAAGTCCCAACTGCGCCAATGCCTCCAAGGATCAGTCCAGCAAACTGCAAAGCAGCAGAAGCGGCAGCCATCTCTTCATTCCAGAACAGAGCTCCAGATACGTTCTGTTCAAGCACAGGGCTTTAGGGTGTTTGTTCGTTTTGCAGGTACAGGTTGTCTGCAGAAGAGAAACCTTCCTCAAGCAGCTTGTGCAGCTGTCACCTGCAGAAACGCTTGCTAATTCAGACCAGTTTGAATCAGATGCATGCTGGTTAGCACTCGGCTGCTTCCTTACTGCTTGAGTGGAGCATTCCACTGCCCCCATCATTTGGAAAGGATGGAGTTATCTATCAGGTTTAACAACTTTCAAAGCCAGTGGAAGGTCAAACACAACAGGGTTTGCAACCAGAAAAATTCTTTCTGGAAGGCACACCTGTGTCTCTGAAGAAATTCTGTCATTTACCTTTTCTTTTCCCCTCCTGGCAAAATGTTAGATAGTACATAAACATTCTGAAATGAGCCAAATGGCTTTAATATACAATCTGTAAACAAGCATTAAGTTTCCACCCCAAATAACTTTCAACGAGCCAAAGAGAAAACCCACAGGAGCGTTCAACTACAGTTGTGCTCATTAGCCTATGATTAGATATGTTTGCATAGAAAACTCCTTAAAATATTTTTGTGATGTGCAATAATTGTCTAAAACTCTCAAAACACTACTGTGGATGTGCTGAAGTATACTCCACAAGCAAATTCATCTTCGGAACAGCTGCAGGTTAGTGGTAAGGCAACTACCTTGCATGCAGATGACCCCAGGTTTAATCTCTGGTGTCTCTACGTCGGGGCTGGGAAAGACCCCTGTCTGGAATCCAGAAGAGCTGCTGCCAATCAGTGTAGACAGTAGTGGACAGCATGACCACCTGACTTCCCTCCAGCTGAGTCCCTGCTGCTTGCTGCAACAGTAAAAGCGGAGGTGGAGGTGGGCACTGCATTGGCAGGAACACCAGATTGGCTGGCACCATGCCCCTTCTCCATCCTGGTACACAGCAGCAACTCAGCCGGAGACAGGTCAGGTGGCAGGGGGAATCACATAACAAGCCTAAGCCAGTTTCTCCTGCTCGCATCTTACATATAAGTAGCTTTACACAAATATCACAGTTTGTAAATATTAGTGGAACAAGCTGATCAAACAGAATAGGGTTACTTGTGCGTGCAGAAGCCCTGTTGTCAAGAACAACTGAGGTAATACTGTAAGCTTGTACATGGGTTAAGAGTTTGCCCCTGGATTTTGGTCCCTCCAGATGAACATGTTGTTGGTGGAATCTGCAGCATGCTAGAAGTTTATTAGTTGTTCTGCAACGCTATCACATTACTGCTATCTAGAGGGGCTACTGCACAATGAAAGCAGGACAAAAAAAACCAAACCCAGGACACTTGTAGTATGAAAAGGTTACAGGATTTCAGAAAGAAATCACGGCTAAGCACGAATTGGAAACAGAGTAGTATAACTGCCCCAAAACTTTTGCAGGTGCAAATCATTTTGAAAGCCAGGTTGCTTACGACTGCCCTGACAGCAATAAAAAAGGATGTCTGAAGGGGTCCTTTGGGTACTAAAAGATTGATAAATACCCTATTAGCATAAGAGCTAAAAGTATGGTTTAAAGTAAAGACTGATCCAACTATCAACTGCTGCTGGCAATCATGTGGGTAGAGTACTGTTGCAGAGTGCTTTGTGGCTTCCCCCAGGCATCTGGTTGGTCAATGTGATTCCAGAATGTTGGACCAGATGGGACTTCCATCTGATGCAGCAGGCTCAGCCCATGTTCCTAACTTTGGCCCCAGCTGGAATCCAGCTTCCTTTCCCCTCCCAACTGTGCCCCTGTGAAGTACTTCCTGATGCAAGGTACACAGGAACTGATTGGAGCTGGAAGAAGCAAAACATGTGCCGTCACAAGCTGTGTAATGGGTAAAAACAGCAATTTCTAGCCTCAGTCCTTGATAATATGCTATGTATATGCACATTCTATGCTCTGGTAACTTGGGTGTGGAGTTTGTGAAGAATATCATTGTGCTTTGGTTTGACATGCATTTCTACTCCTAGCTTTGTGCTGGTGGCACACAGTTTGTACTAGGGTGGATTGTGCTAGAATTTATAGCTGTGGCTTCATATCCTCAGGGTAGAGGCTGGGGCGACCTTCTTCTTGGGTCAGAATTCCATCCCAGCCTCTGCGTTGGTTGCCTGGCTTCTCATATTAGCAGCCCACAAACTCACTGACTTTTTAGATGTGGTGGCAGAGCTGGAAGTTGCCAGCATTCAGATCTTGGTTATATGAGAGGCCAAGTTCCAGTTGAAGAATGGATGGAGAAAGCTGATCAAAGGGAGCCTTTAGGGCCAGATACTGCCAGTAAGCCTGATGTTACCATCCCCTGGATTAATACATGGTGCAATCCATATTCAGCTCATTATCAAATCAATAAATGCATAATTAGGGAAGTACTGCAGCCTGGATTTTTGCCCATTCCCGCCTCATAACAGAAATCAATGTTCTCTGCCCTGTAACTCCTCACCTAATAACATCTTCCCCTCAAGTCTTCCAAATCTGCCTTAGCTAAGATAAGGCACTAAGAAACAGTCCTGTTAAAAAGTACAAGTAATGAATGCATGATGTAGACCCACTCCAACTCTGAATTTATATAGGATATTCAGAAACCTTGTAAATTAATCAATAGCACAGCTACCTGCTGAAATTAATTATGTGATTGTGCTGTATAAATTAAAACTGCTGCAATATAAAAAAGGTAGTACTTCTTATCAAAAACCTCCTCACCTGCAATTGGAAGAACTGCAACCACTGCAGAAGACTGCGTGCCCATTACTATACGTGTGGTTTCAAAGAGTGATCAAAAGCCCCCAGCAGCTCTCAGACATAACAACAGCAGAAATTTCAGCCTGGGAACTCTTGCTCCATTCCTTTAGTACTTCAATGTCAGATTGTGGCTTGGTAGGTAGGAAGTGAATGAGCACTAGTGAGCTTGTCCCACTGTCAGCCCAAGACATTTTTCAACCTTAATGGACTGTGTCTGCAGCCCTGCTAGGGCCAACTCACTTTAAATTGTTGAAGAATGCTGCAGCCAACCAAAAACACTCTCCAAATATAGACAAAACATTGTTCCCTCTCTGTCTCTTTTACACATGCATACACACAGAGACAGCCTTCCTTTGTCTAAGTGAATAAAACTGCCATTGTGTCAAACCTTATTTCCTCTTCCTACACACACAGCTATAATGTAAGAAATTTGTTTTAGCTCTCCATGCCCTGGACTTTTATGCAAGGTTTGAAATGCTTCTACACCACAGCTTCTGATTTTTATTAGGTGTCAATTAGCCAATGTCACCTTCCATGCTGTTTTGGAGGGCCCTCCACTCCAATCCCACTGAAACAGATTTTCAGGGGGTTGCAGCAGGAAGGTGACATTGGCTGCCAATATGCTCCCAGGCCAAGTTCAAGGTTCTTGTGTAAATTCAATGAGCCCTAAACAACCTGGGTCCAAATTTCCTTGAGGATTGTCTGATCCCTTGTGCTACACCTCAATCACTGAGTTACTCCAATAGAGGAGCTTCTGGTGGTTTCCCATGCCCATGAGGTTCAGTTTGCCTTCACTAGGAACTAAGTCTTTAAGGTGGCAGGCCCTGCTCCATGGAACTCTGATTGTAGAACCATCCCTGTCTTGTTTTAGATGTCTTCTGGAAACAAGCCATCACAATATGAATTTCTCTTTAAACCAGCCAGTATCAATTAGTGTTTTTTAAATGTTTTAAATTACAATGCAGAAATCTTAGCTAAAGCATCCATGACAGATGACCACCCAACATCTGCTTAAAAATCTCCAAGGAAGGAGAGTCCACCACCTCTCATGGGAGTCTGTTCCACTGCTGAACAGCTTTTCCTGTCAGAAAGTTTTTTCGAATGTTTAGTCAGAATCTCCTTTCTTGTAACTTGAAGCCAAGTCCTACCCTCCAGAGCAGGAGAAAACAAGCACGCTCCCTCTTCTGTGTGACAGTCCTTAAGATATTTGAAGATGACTATCATATCTCCTCTCAGTTTCCTCTTTTCCAGGTTAAACATATCCAGCTCCTTCAAATGTTCCTCATAAGGCTTCGTTTCCAGACCCTTGATAGTCTTGGTTGCCCTCCTCTGCACACGTTCCAGCTTGTCAACATCCTTCTTAAATTGTGCTGCCCAGAATTAGTTAGACACAGTATTCCATGTGTGGTCTGACCAAGGCAGAATAGAGTGGTACTATTACTTGATCTGGACACTATACTTCTATTGGTAGTGTAGATATATACCATGGATATTTATAGACTGGCTCTGTGTGTGTGTGTGTGTGTGTGTGTGTGTGTTGTGAGCCTCCTTTTTATATTATGTGAAAGAGCGGGCCAGGTTATGAATGTTCAAATAAATAAGCAAAGTAGCTCAGTTAACAGAGAAAATCACCCAAAATATTAGCACAGAGATTTGGGCCCTGATACCTAATATTTTTGTGCCCGTTTGTAATACTGATAGATTATTCTTGGGGCAGCTGCATATAGCTTGTGGACATTTTCACCTTCCAACTCTCACAAATGAATAAATACAAAATCATTCCATTCTAGCAAGAATAGTCTGAATGAACAAAAAGTTGCTACATAGATAATAAAACAGCAACAACCCAGCATTCAGTCCCATTGGGTAGTGATTGTATTGATTTGTGTTAAATCAGGGCTAAATATGATGCCTGCAGAGGACTCAGCGCTGAGAAGTTTGTTGGTTTACCGGGAGGGGGAGTCCCACCCAGCACAAGTTGGCAAGGTGATTGGCCCTGATAACCAGCTATGCTGCCAAAGGGGACAGCTGATATATCCTGTAGGTCCATGACTGTAGATCCAGGGACAGATGCTGAGAATTGCCCAGAGTAAGAAAACAAACAGAAAAATGATAAAATAAAACATACAGATAAAAATGTGCTTGGCAGAAGAGTCTATTAAGAAGTTCACAACTAAAAACAGAACTTTAAGATTGTCTTAGTTTAATGGGACTTAAATAAATTGCTTAACTGATCATAGAATCATAGAGTTGGAATAGACCACAAGGGCCATCGAGTCCAACCCCCTGCCAAGCAGGAAACACCAGGATGATGATGTTGATAATGAAACATAATGGGGCTTGCCCTTCCTGAAACAATACATGCAGTAGAATTATTGAGACTATTTTTAAATGCTTAGACATATTTTTGATTAAGCAGTATGTAACCTTTGCTAAATAAATAAATTAAATGGATCGAGATGTAGCAATGAAGCTCTCTAGTCAAATACTGTGTACAAAAAATGCATATATTATGGG